AGGAAATGTTGAAGACAGACGAGATCCTACAGCACTGCGAGCAGTTAAACAAGAGGCCAGAACAATGTCTGTCATCCCAGGAGCCATTTCATCTGCGACTGTCTTCCGAGGTGATAAAAGTGGTGTTTTTTCTAAATGTGATGACATGGAAATCACTGGAAATTATACGGATGTAATCTACAGCGACAGCGCCGAAGACATGAGCAGTTCACATCGCAAACCTTTTGAAGAGCCACTTACTACAAACGCTTTGCTAGCAGAAAACAGGCCTCCAGCATGTGGTGACAGGGACATTACGAAGAATCTAACGTCTTTAGACAATCGAGCTTCTGTCTCCTGCAAAAACAGTGCGCTTGAACCGTCTTCGGGCTCAGACGAACCAACCAAAGAAGTGACCCACGACCACAGCACTCCTTCAGGGAATGCTGGTTTTGGTTCATGCACAAATTCAGCGTCTACTGGTGTTTCTAAGAGCAGACTTCAGCACAGGCTAGCAAACTCTCAACTTGTTTCTCTGCCAGGTGAGAAGACAGTAATATTCTCAGGAGAAGATATGGACTTGACTAGAACCTGTGTTGTCAAGGATGACGGAAAGAATGTTGACAATGAATCTCCTGCTGGAGTGTTCACCTCTGTCACTTGCAAACCTCATTTTCTTGATAACAGATCCACATCTCCCAATTTAAATGAGCAGGAGGAAATGGAAATAACCAAATGCCACGCTGTTGTCATTGATGATCAAAGCAATGGGATAACTGCAGAAGCAAAACACATGCCTTGTAAAATAATTCCAAGAAAGAGGCAGAACAAAAACGTTGGTGAAGGTGCAAGTTCTTTAGATATGGACAAGGAAAACCTTGAGGTGATCAGTATCGATGGGACTATTAAAAGAAGCCAGGCTATGGAAATGAACGCTACAGATGGTGAGATGATAATGGTTGATAAGAAGCTTGGAAAAACAAACTTTCAGGCAAGTGGTCCGAGTTCCTGTGCAAAGAGCATGCGTTCATTACAAGAGCAAAAGAGAGAAGTCTCTGAGAATATTGTCCCTGACACCGGTGCATTCGTGTCTTTGCAAAGTCAAAAAGTTGTTACATCTCAACCTCTGGGAAAAAAACTTCTAAACGCTTCAGTTTCCTGCACAAGCGACAAAACAGGCAGGTTTTCAGGTGATGGAAACATGGACATGACCAAAACTCATCCTGCTGCCTTTGATGTTGCTCCTGTTAGGACAGTACCAGAATATGAGAGTCATCACAACCAACATAACGTAATACCCAAGCAGCTGCAAAACCAGTCCTTCCGTTTTCCTGGTAGTGCTGGTGTAGATGTCAGTCAGGGTGCAGTGATCGAATGTGGGGATTTGAGAATGAACGCAGACAAGCAAACTGTTACTCCTTTGCCCCCAAATGGTTCATTTATTTCCAGTAATGAGCCTGTTCCCTCTGGAACGAAAGGAAATGACCAGCTTGGAACAATATTAGGAATGAAAGCAGATTGCCAAAACTCAGACAGGCAAGAGAATACCCGTCCTATGAAGGTAGTAACCAAAGTATTGTCAACTCGAGTAGATTCCGAGGGAGACTCTTGCATTGGTAGAACAGCTTCTGCAGAAGAGGACCTGGAAAATCCTGAGGCAGTTGATGGGCTGCGCTCGAGGCGTGCGGAAGAGCCATTACGAGCCAGTGTGTCTGAACCACGGAAGGGAAGTTCCCAGTTGCCTTCGTTTTTAGAAAAATCTGTTGTGTTTCCCTCTGGTGAAAACATGGACTTGACTGGAAACTGTGCGGCGGTGGTTCCTGATGACAACAGCAGTGCTGGTTTGTCAGCAAGACAAGGATATTCCTTGGTACCTGGCAAGAAAACGTTAGCCATGGCTGGTTTAAAACATTCACCTTTTGCAGATGAGAAAACTACCATATTTTCAGAAGATGCTGATATGGACATCACCAGGAGTCATACAGTTTCAGCAGACAACAAAATAATTTTGCAGCCTAAAAGTCCCAACGATGACATATCCTTGATTTCTGGAGATAAAACTTGTGTTTTTACTTACAATAATGACATGGAAATAAGCAGACTGGATCCCGTTGCAATTGATAAATCCATGGAAAAGGCTGCATCTCAAGGGATGCTTAACGTAGCTAAAAGGACTGGAAGGAAAAGCTTGAAGGGAGCAACAGGGGAAAAGACTCTTTTATTTTCACCGAACGATGAGAATAATGACATGGAGATCACAGAGAGCCACACGGCTGCCATCGGCCATGAAATTGTCTCGCAAAATGAGGAATGGCTTCGTTCCGTCTCTTCAGCTCATCCTGTTGGACCTGTTCTGTTCCCAAGTAGCCAGGCTGCCATGGACGTGACCAAGTCTTGCTCTGCTGATAGAATTGCTGTCCAAGTTGCGTGTGATGATAAACCAAACTTGGATATGGAGGTTGGACAGCAAGGGGTTCCAAACAGAGAAGCGACCAGGTTTGCCATGGATGATATGGAGATCACTAAAACTCATCACGTAGCTTTGGAAGAAAGTTCTCTGCGAGGTGGGCACCCCAAACAGTCTGTTCCTTCAGCCTCCACCATTATGTCTGCAAGTGAGCAGGCTGACCCGGCCATGGCTGCGCCCCGCTCTGTTGGCGAAAGCGCGGACGGAGTCTTCCGCAAGGACAGAACACGCCTGGCGAGGCAGGTGGGACAGGGACCCGTTTCACCTAACAAAACTGTCATTTTTGCCTCAGCCGAGGAGATGGAGATCACTAGAGCCCACGCAGCTGTATTGAGTGGGGACATGGATGTACAGGGCAGAGAGCCCGTCCCAGCCATTTCTGCAGGTCCTGCCGATAAAACCGTTGTGTTTTCCCACGACCAAGACGATATGGAAATAACTGCGTCTCATACTGTTGCTGTTAATAACAATGTCAGTGGATTTGAGAACCAAGAAGTGCCACAGAAAAGCACTCAGCAACCAGACTGCTTGTCTTCTTGCAGAGGTGAAACAGATTCCCTGCATACAGAACACCCGAATGGTGAACGTCACACCAAATCTAAGGATAAGCCCAGCGTTCCCTGTTCTGCTTCATCAGCCTCAGCCTTTCCTAGTGACAAAGGAGCTCTCCAAGTCCTCAATGGCACACCACCAGATTCCATTTATTCTGTCTCACTTCCAGAAAAGACTACGGGTGTGCAGGCACCACAGGATCTTGACCTTCCCACAGGTAATTCTGTCCCTGTAAACAGTCAGCAGGATCTCAGCCAGCCAGAAAAACAGAAATCAAAGAGAGTCTCTTTCAAGCTTCCAAGTAACAGGACTAGGGATTGCAGTGAAGAAAGTGGCCATTTGGTGTCCTGTGTTTCACTTCCCATCCAGCAACCAGATTCTTTGACGGGATCTCCGGATGCACGTAGTACTCAGGGAAACCAGGTATTGAAAGATGATTTATCTAGACATGAACATTTAGTTACAGATTCAGGCTTGGCTGGCACAAGCCTTGTTCCAGTTTCTAACAAGGAATCAAAGGAAAATGAGGGGCTGTCAGCGGAAGAGGAGACACCTCCAAAAGACTTTCAAATAAACTCTGAACAAACTAAGCAGCTTTTGGTCGGTGGCAGTCCAAGAGATCAAGTAGATCCCACTCTTGCACCTGAATTATCAGGTATTTTAAACATTTGTTCAAAACTGGAAAACATTAGAAGGAAATCTGCAGTTTTCTCCGTTTCTGAAACGGCTTTTTCCGATCAGTTGTGCAAATCACCACCTCAGTCAGAGGATATCTTGAGGTTAGGAAAAAATACTGTAAATGCACCAAATAATGCATTTTCTACCAAAGGGCAAGAGAGCACGTGTCTCGAATCTGGAGCTGCTCCCATAGATGCAAATTTAGGCATAGCACTTAAGGATAAATTTCAAGGAATAAATGTCCCTCTAGGTATCTTCCAGCCTAAATTACCAAGCAGAAGAAACCCTTCTGTTTCTGGTGTACAAGACATAAATGCCAAACCTTCAGACAAAGGAGAAGCACCAGTTTCAAAAGTAAGTGTAAACGCTGGTGAAACCCCAGCTAACAAGAAGTCTTGTTGGCAGAACTTCAGCCCTTCTCAGTTTATAGCAGAAGAATTTCTTCCTGTCTGCCTAGAAGAAATGGATTCAAATGAATCCGTAAGCTCTGAGCTCATGGAAGATGCTTGCCATGAGATAAGCAAAAACCAAATCTCCCACAGTGAAAAGAATCAATTTGAAGAGACACAAACTTGCAACAGCACAAAAAGAACTTTGGAGCAAGCTGAGGAGGATCTTCAAAGTCCAAAGAAGGTCAAGAGAGATGAAAACTTGGATGGTGAGGCCTCTGGAGACTTGCAGGTGAGCCTAACCACTCATTATAAGGATTCGGTGAACACTAACAGGACTTTTGTTTAAATTTTGGGATGTAAGCAGATCCAGTGGTAGGCTTTCTTGTTTCTCTTAACCACCAGTTTGCTGTCGTTTTGCTGTGGTGTCCCCTGTATTTTTCATTGTTTTGCCAAAACAGAAGAATCGGGTTGATGTGTGCAACTTTCCTGAACCATGCAAAACAGACAGAATAAGGGATCTGCCAATTTTCAATCATTCTCTCCGTGGTATCCTTTTCATTCTTTCTTGACTAAACACTCTTAGTCCTCGGAACTAAATATTGGCTAGTTGTTGCTTAAGTACAACGATAAGAGCAAGGCTTAAAGCGATTATTTAAAATCCTAACATGGATATTTAGTTTAAATTGGCTTTTTTTTATAGACAGCACAAATTGCTGTTGAATCAAGGAAATCTATGCAGCTGTGGAACGTTCTTCTGACCTTAAAAATAAGTTTGTACATTGTCAGTAAAAGCTTCCTAGTTCCAAAAGCTGGAAGTGTGTGCTGGGGTGGCTACTGCTTTGGTTGAGAAACAAAGGAAGGATTTTGGAGCTGTACTTCCCTATACTTCAGGGAATGGCTTAAGTAGCCATAGGCTGGTTTGTCACGCTGATCAGATGGAAAACGTGCCGATACTAAAAATGAAACAATTCTGAACTTCAAGAAACAGCTACAATAAACTGCTGATCAACTTACTCTTGTATTATTTCATATAAGTCTTTTAATTGTTGTTTTTTAAAACTTGCTAATATTAGGTTACTTTTGGTGCTGTGTCTCAAAGCCAAGGAGAAGATCATGAAGGTGAAGATCCTCCAAACCTATCAGCTAAAAGCCCTGACTGTACTCCTGCCAGCACCAGCAGCTCTCTGGATTCTGTTAAGGCTGACACAGAATTAACCAGTAAGACTTCTTTTGGGGTAATGGTCTCAAACACTTGTGGTCTTTACGCTTAACTAAGGCAGAGCCCCACCCATGGTATGTGTTTCCTTTGGGAAAGGGCTTTGAATGCCCGTGTCCCAGCTTCCCACCCAGCCGGTCAACACGCTTCTGCGTTCTGGCGCAGAGTCTGAGCCATTCAGGGAAGACTGAGGATAGGAAGACAAAGGAGCAGAATTTAAGTACAGCTTTATTTTCAAGAGCAAGTTGGGCTGATGAGGCAGGTTAGCTACCTTAGCACAGAGCAAAGCCCCAGCTCAAACTCTGCTGGCCCAAAGATGATTTTAGGCTGGTTCTGTGCAGAATGACCCTGAATGTCTCACCCCTGTGCTCTTGGAAAAAGACAGAGTGCATTGCAGGGACAGGCCCTAAGCAGATTCAGCCCCCGGGTTTAATTAGCTCTTGATAATAAGCTGATACTTAACAATGAGGCAGAAATGTGCCAATCATCTGATAAGTGCTATCTTGCCTCCGTTTACCAAACCAATTCCAGTTTTGGCCTCTTGCTTCCATGAAAGCACATGCCCTTTAGAAGCTGGGCTCTTTCCTTTGAGTGAGAAACTAGCCCCTCGTGGCTCAGAACTCACTTTGACAGCTTGGTCTCTGCCTACAAAGGATGCCCTCTGTGAGCTGGCTGGAGTCTCTTGCTCAGTCTTGTTGCTTGTTAGTATGTTACTATGGCTTTCCTCCCATAGAAAAGGGAACTCTCTCGTTTCGTTACCGCTCTGACACGGATTTTATTTTACATTGGATTCTTAATCAAGTCCTCCTTATTTGTCCCAAGTATTTATTTCCTCAGTGACTTCATTCAGCACTGGAAACACACATAAAGGTCAAACTCTACATTAAAATTGCTTTTTTTCTAGAGCTAAGGAGCTTAGGTTCATATTTCTGCAAGAATATGATTAACCCCAGCAATAATCCCTTGGTTTTTTTGGCTAGTTCAGCGGAGCAGTCAGATGGAGTCTCAGCTTCTCACAGACAGCATTTGTGAAGACAACTTACGGGAGGTATGTAAGTAGCTGAAAGATGCTCACTTCTTGTCCTAGCAGGAAAAGTGCTTGTGTGCACATACAAGCACTCTTGCTTGTACTTATCTGCACTTTTTTCCTAACCTTTACAGAAATTTCAGGATGGCGTTATCACAGTTGGGGAATTTTTTACGCTTCTTCAAGTCCACGTTCCGATTCAGAAGCCCCGGCATAGCCACCTTCCAGCCAATGTGAGTATCCGTCCTTTGATGTGCATGATATAATTGACCTTAAATTGTATTCCTTGGGTTTTTGGTTTGGTTTGTTTGGGTTTTTTTCAAACTTTTTATCAACTAACCGTTCTGTATTAAAGGCCTTTAAATGAGTTAAGCCAGAAATCAGTTCTGCCTTGACAAGTGTGTTAGACACTGCGTGCTTCCTCTTGTCTCTTGGCTTGTTCACCTCCAATTTTTTCCCCTCAGTACTGAAAAATAGAATAGATTTCAATCTCTTCACAAAATATCATGTATTCAGGATGTTCTTGGATAAGTATGGTAATTCTTGCTTTTTTAACTTGTTTTAAGGATGGTAAGTTTGAAAGTAAGAATTAGGAGCTCAGTCTAACCTTTTGACTTTATCTTCTTTCTATGTGCATCAGCCACTGAAATCAGAATCCTGAAATGCTACTCTGCCTCCCACTACCTGGTCTACTCTCTTCTTCAGAAGTGCTTCACCATGACATTATTATGCTTTATTTATTCCCCTTAAGTCTGTTCTGCCTGATCCCACTTTCAGCATCCTCATCCTGAAATGTTTCTGCCAAATTCTGGCAGACATGGGAACAACTGTTTTTTTCCATGCAGGCAGGTACCAGTCATTGGTAGTAACTTGATGCTGAGCAGGGCAATAATCTGACTTTGCAACCATCCTGGAAGCAGGGCCTTGTGATTTGTTTTCAGTAAAGGCACCTGATTTTTATTTATAAGCCTTCTTAAGACTAGTGTTTCAGCCTGGCTTATTTGCACACGTCTGTGTAGCCAGCTGAATTTCTAACTGGATGCTGGGGCTGGACTCTGTTGTCTGTCTGGATTTCACAAATAATCTTTTTGAGGAACTGTACCTATGCAATGAAGTAGTGTGAATGAGCTGCTTAATTTCCTGTACATCGGTATTACACTGAAATGGAAAAGTTTCAATCTCACAAACAGAGAAATCTTGTTTGTAAGATTGCAATGCTTAGCATTTATTTCGTAAAATATTTGGGGATTTAGTTCCAATACTTCCGTTTCCTGTTGCTTACTACAGTTTCTGCTGGCACAGTGAACAATGCACTGGGGCAATGGGAAAGCCATCCTGGAAAGTGGAAAACCTAAGCAGTGTCTGTGTAATTTTGACACTGGTTTGTGAGTTTCTTCTATGCCAGGACTTATTCCAGAGAATAAGACTGGCTGGAGAACTCTCCAGTAGTCTGTTCAATGTTAAATAAGTTCTAATGAGATTTGATCTTCCTTCTTTCAAATGGGTGGTGTGACACCTGTTTTGGTAGGAATTTTTAATATCTCTTTATGATAGTAAGTGTAAGAGTGAAGTAGTCAGAAAAGGCATGGTCAAGATCATGTTCTTCACATGGTACAGCTGTGAAAATCCTTTACTTGTGAAATTTATTCTAGTACTTCAGATTAGTTGAAAACTGGCTGCTGCATAACCAAGTCTTACTGCTGTAAGATGGCACCTTGTCAGGGCAAATATGGCAGCAGAAGATTCACATCAGAAATTTAGGTGTCTTCTTGGGACTACGGACTGCAGCTGTGGACTTTGTTTTGGTAATGTGCAGAATTTGTGGGGCACACGTGTCGTGGTGATCTGTCATCCTTCATTGCCTCTTGGCTGACTGAGTAAAATTTCCATGTGTCAGCTTAGCAAGCACAAGGAGAAAGTCTGGCTGTTTTAAAGTTCTTTAAAACTGGCATGAAAAAAAGAACGAAAAGTGATTAAAAATAATCACAACTCAATTAATTTGATTTCTGTGGCTTAAATTGCTTCCTTTATGACATTTAAATCCTTCTGTTTTTGTTTAAAATGCTGTACTATCTTAGTTTCAGTTTAGTTTGCACTTTCAGTTTGCAAATTTATTC